AATAATGGAGTCATTCGTAAACTATTGACAAATAGCTATTCACGAGAGTGCTCAGTTCACAGTTGTCAGTGCTATAGCCAGTACCATTACCAAATACACAAATCACTCAGAATATTTTCAGCTTTAACTTACCCGGGGACCCCGGGCTTTGTGTTCTCAAACACAGTAGTTATATTAATATTAGATTTTAGTAAATATGCTTGATTCATGACTGATACGTGTATGAAAACCTAAAACGGGGTCCCCAGGTACTCAATCGATTAGATATGTAAAAGATTCCGATACGAGGGATTATCATACCTCATGCTAGCTATGCATTTTCGTATGATACAGAATGACATTAACTGCGGAGCACCGTACTGAGTTTCTACAACAAGGTCTACACTAAACTGAAACAGTAAACATGTGAAGATGATTGATCACTCAGTACTCGACCAACTGCGATGGACAAATACGAAATTGTAAAATGATTTTTTTAATAAAACTTTTACCCAATGCATTTAAAATTAATTTGAAATCAATTACCTGAGGACCCCAGGCTATTATGTTCATTAACATAATATAGATTTGGCATATAGATTTGGCATATATATTTGGAATATAGATTTGGCGGAATGACAGGCTGAGCGCGGCCCAGTAAGAAATCAACTGTTTTCCATAAAACTAAATCAATATTATTTAGTGTATTAATACAAAAAATTGCAAAAATCTGAAATTGAAAGCGTGTCGCGCATGTATAGTTGTTGCTGTTTAAATTAAGTGCGAACAAGAATTTGTTTTATCTTCACTGATATGCTTTTCATCATGTAACCACGCCATACTTTAATACAGTTCTTCCATATCTTACACTTGTACAGCATTTTTTGACAATAGGGTCACACATCCTAACTGCGACTCGAATACATGTGTAAGCCACTTGTCATACATTGTCCCCCTGTATCGTAGAAATGCTACAGTGAAACGACAATTTGGGGGTCACGACGTGATACAACAAGTCATTAAATAAAATATACAGTGAACATGAGAAAGAGAAGCAATATTTGTATGAGGAGAGAGTATTTCGGTCAGGGAAAGGATCCTTTGTCCCACTAGTCTTCACGACATCTGGAGGCTAGGCATGGGACTGCTTTACACTGTGTTCGTAGATATTGTATCTGAGATAATAGCTGACTTCAAAATAGAAGCCAAGAGTCAGGTCAAAAATTATATCAGAACACGACTCAGGTTTGATCTGCTATGATCTGTCAAGTTCCCAGGGGAATTATAGAACGATCATCAGCTCGACATATAGGACTGCAAAACGTATCCTTCTACCTCATCCCTCGAAGACGAGCTCTGAGGTCTCCTAGATTTGTTTATGTAAATTTGTTTCAGATAATTTATTGTAATTGTTACATGCAATTTTACGGAAGAAATGATGCCAGGGGGACTCCCAACCCAACTCTTTGGCGGGTAGTTGATCTTTTTACGACCATTTCATATCTCACTTGGCACTGACCTTGATATCTATACTAATTTCTTAAGGTTGTTCACACTCACTCCTCCTCTAATGTTGGAACAGTATTGTCACACAGTCAGACCATTTAACAAAATATTGTTACACACAGGTCTACTCAGTAATAACATTGGACATCAGAACACGATTCAGGTTTGATCTGCTACGAAGCGCACTCATAGCACTCAGGGGAATCAGAGGAAGACAAAAAGCCCAGCACCTTAGACTGGATGACGTATCCTTCAATCTCATTCCTCAGAAGACGAGCTTTGTTTACATAAATTTTATAGATAATTTATTGTAGCTTTTATATTGTGTAAAATTTTACGGACGAAATGATCCCAGGGGGGACTCCCAACCCACCGCCTCAGCGGGTAGTTGCTACACCTTTCACAAGCAAGAGCCACTTTGGTCTACTTGCTGTGAGGTGTCTCAGCTACATGGGTCCGGTTGGGGGTCACATGCATGCACTCTAGAGTGGTTCATTTTACCAAAAGTTGTTCAAATAATTAGAAATCATATCTTATTAGTTGCTCTATAGGGTCAGGAACGACCAAAAAATTTTTTTTGACTCTAGTGTTCCGGATATGGTCCGCACATGCCACGCCCATTTTTATAGCGTTTCTTATACAGGTAAAATTGTCTAGATCGTCAATTTAGTCATGAAGGAGTATGGAAGGAGTTCTGAATGTGTGCTCCTCTAATATAAACAGTAGAAAATGGTTAACTTTAGTCGAGGTCTCAGGTCTCTACAATGTCGGGAAGTTCCTGCAGGAGTTTGCGCATTGCGCTGAAGCGCGGGATTCACTGCGCCAAAAGTGAAGGTCGTAGAGACATGAGACCTTGACTAAAGTTAACCTTTTTATACCATTACTATAGTGGTGTGACACTTTCAGAGTCCTGAACACATTCCTATATCACTTAATCGTCAATTATATGAATTTTACCTGTTAAAATATATCATTTATAACTGATATCAATTTAGTTTAACACTGTTAGCTTTTAAATAGGAAATAATTTACTTCACACCAAACTTACACACACCATAAAGAAATACAAAAAGATTCCAAATTGAACTTTGATTATATCCTGGGACTGGTTATCATTTCTCGATTGTTCTCCATTCTCCAACGCAGTCAGAAAGTTCAGATTTAGGTAGACTTGGTTTTCGAATCTTCATATATGTTCAGAAGTAGGCCAGAAGGGGTTTGGTTACCAGAGGAATTGAATATCTTCGTGGAACAAGGAAATTAATGAGGTCTTCGTTGATTTCTTCATAACTCGTCACTGACAGGATGAGTATTGACGAGATCCACTGATTACTTCATAGCTCGTCATTGATAGGATCAGTATTAATGAGATCGAATGATTACTTGATAGCTCGTAACTAACTGGATCAGCATAACATGACTAACGACTAACGAGGTCCAGTGATATCTTGCTGATTCGTCAAGGTCAGTAAATAACTATAAATATCGAAAAAATTTGCTTACAAATTACAGAGTGCAAATGCCTTCTTCACAACTATCGGCTATGAACGGAACAGATGAATCTCTTCTTTGGCTTCATCTTTTAAAATGACTCAGTCCCTCTGAAACAAGATAATGCTTAGGACTAGGAGGAACTTAGTTAAGTTCTCGTAGGATTCGCTAAGAGGAAAATTACTTAGTAAGCTAACATTCTTTTGTAGGATGTTACCACTCATCATATCTGTTATCCAGTATAATCCCACAACTAGACCCTCTCATTTTTGAGTCTCGACAATGACTGCAGCAATGTGTACTATTTTGATGCTCGGTCCAGGTAGTCTCCAAGAAAGCCTCCTTTTTGTATACTCTCATATTGTGTGTTAGTTTGGTGTGAAGTAAATTATTTCCTATTTAAAAGCTAACAGTGTTAAACTAAATTGATATCAGTTAAAGATGATATATTTTAACAGGTAAAATTCATATAATTGACGATTAAGTGATATAGGAATGTGTTCAGGACTCTGAAAGTGTCACACTACTATAGTAATGGTATAAAAAGGTTAACTTTAGTCAAGGTCTCATGTCTCTACGACCTTCACTTTTGGCGCAGTGAATCCCACGCTTCAGCGCAATGCGCAAACTCCTGCAGGAACTTCCCGACATTGTAGAGACCTGAGACCTCGACTAAAGTTAACCATTTTCTACTGTTTATATTAGAGGAGCACACATTCAGAACTCCTTCCATACTCCTTCATGACTAAATTGACGATTTAGACAATTTTACCTGTATAAGAAACGCTATAAAAATGGGCGTGGCATGTGCGGACCATATCCGGAACACTAGAGTCAAAAAAAATTTTTTGGTCGTTCCTGACCCTATAGAGCAACTAATAAGATATGATTTCTAATTATTTGAACAACTTTTGGTAAAATGAACCACTCTAATGCACTCATCCCATGTTACTACAATATTGTTGTACACTCACGACTCAGCCCATGTTTACAACAAATATTGTCACACACTCAGACCATGTAACAAACATATTGTCACACTTAAGCTCATGATAGAAGTGCTTTTGACGAATTTATTTAGGTAATCCTGTAATTTTCAAAGCTTCCCAAACTTTCAAACTGTGATAACCGTCTCAACAGTGTAGCAACTTTAGGTCAGAAACATCAACCTTGTAAACTCAACCTTGCAGGTTGAGTTTACAAGGTTGATTCTTGGTTATTACCGGGAAATGGAACTGCAGCTCAGGTGATGTCATAATCACGTGACATGTTAGATTTGATTTTGAAAATCTTGTACCTTGTTTATTGACAATTTTTTCCATTCACACCCTTTTGTAAAAAGGCAATACTGAAAGGTTACGAATAGTCGTTTTTGCAGAAAAACGTGGATTTTGGAGATTGCGGTAGGTGGGTCAAATATATGACGTGTTCCTTACTTACTTCCGTTCGTTACCATGTCAACTTGCCGTGCGCACGCTCACGAAGATTGCTTGTGGAGATGTGGTGTATAGTTAGCCTGTGGTCAATGAATGCGCAGCCGGCAGCGCGAGCGTATTTTAATGTATACTATGTAATGTATAGTATTATGTAATAAGCCCAATTTGTACGTGCCATGCGTAGTGTACTGATGTGTTTCAATATTATTATTATGAAGTGAGCTGATTATAGCTTATATTTATAGTTATAGTGAATGTGGAATGGAAATCTAGCGTCCGCCAAAATGAAACAATGGTCGTAATTCTTGTTAGAGGTTGTAGTAAGTATTGTCTAATTCCTAGCAGCATTGTCGGTATTTTATATTAACACCGTTCCTTTTATAACAATCTAATACCTTTCACGAACTGTTTGGGAATGATGTGATGTGCTAGTTGAATATCCTTATTGATGATCACTATTGATTTTCATACAAAAATAAACGCACTCATCTGTTAGTTTATTGAAACTGCTTGGAAAAAAGTCATTCAAGACTAGACAAAAATAATCGCCTTATCCCCTTGACTTTATAATCACTCATGAGTTACTAACCTAAAATTTACTTTAGTCATGGACGTGAAAGAGGCTCAGCAGATTATGAGGATACAGGAGCAATCCTTAAGGGAGTTGCAAAGGCAGTTTGGGGCTATGGAGAATCCACCATCAATATATCTAGAGGTTCGTTCTACAACTTAAATTTTCTCATTTTTATTCATTTTCTATTCTCATAGGAGATATCTATCATGCTGTGTGTATTCTGAATTTATTCAATATTTTCTACGTCATATTTTTAACTTAACCGGTGGCTGTTATTTTATTGTTTTTGTTCAGCCAGTTCGGAATAAATAGGCTGTTGATAGGCTGATTCAGTGAACCTCAATTTATCACAGTGTTTATGTCAAAAGAAAAAGTTCATGTTAATCAGTTTAATGAGGGTTGTTGAGTTGATCTTCTGGACAGTTACGCAGCCACAATTAAACCATTTTCAACTGATAGTACTGATTTGCACCAACTTAAAGCGGTAACACTTGTGAATACCACTGTTTATCACACAAGTTTTCAAGTCCAAAGTTCAAAATCTCCTTACAGAGAATTACTGTTTAACTTAATTGAAATAAATAATACTGTGGTGTGATTGAGTTTCACTGTGGATGTTACTTTCATGGCCTTGAGAGATACTGCACACATGATTTTTAAATTCAACCGTCTTGTTTAGTAGATCAAAATAGAAAACAATACAGTGTTGTATTGGTTCATTACATTCATTAAAAACGATGCGGAAATACCAAGTGATATACTGCATCACAATTATCACATTGAAACATTGAGAGAAAGAGAAAAAATATTTCATTGGACAAGGTCGTAAATGGTCCACTGTAAGTAAAGATGATTGTTTAGAATGAGATAAAGTTAAGGCACAGCTTTTAGCCAACTGGAACTGATGTTGAGAATATCTTTTTAGATACAACTTGCATTTCTAAAAATATTTCGATCTATTTGATGATTCATGCTCTTGTGATTGCACTTTAATTTATCATTTTGGATTAGAACCTAATGAAAGGCTAATTGACTTATTGGTTGATTGCAGTCCTCATCATTGTAAGGTGTTGGATTGAAGAAGAGGTTGCATGTCGGTCAGGACTCAGGGTGCATTAATTGAGAATTTAATACACATGTATTATATGGGTTCATTGATTCTATGAGTTTGTATTTTAATTTGCAATCAATAAAACAGTCATCGACTTTTTAATCCAGTAGTTTTCAAATTACAAATGTTCATCTAGTTCTACCGTTCACACTCATTTTTCTAGTTGTTCAAGATAAAAAGTATAAAAGTACACTAATTCCCACGTAAAAAATAAGTTGATCCCAAAAATCAGCTTGAATATAGTTATCATCATGGCATCACCCCTGCAGATTTCGTCGATTTCAGGTGTCGTCGGCACCATAAAAATTAAAAGCAAACATAAATTTTTTCCCCTAAAATCAAACGCTTTCTGCGCAAAAAATTGACCTCAACAGAAAAAATTAAACATGGCTTCAAATCCAAATTTGAACCAGAGATTTTTCACTTCCTCTCGATAAACTCAATTTTCAACCCAAAATAAAGTCTCAAAGGGGTAAATTACTCAGGTCAGGATTGTAGGCAATAATTAAATGCCAAACCATACATTTTTGTCCAATCCAGCTGCGCAGCGAGCGAAGCGAGCAAGCTGTGGCAGGGGTCCCGCTGCAGCCCCCAGCGGGGTCCAGGGGCGGAGCCCCTTGGCGGGGGCTAGGGGGGCACAGCCCCCCGGAAAATTTTTGCAAAATAGGGTGTTTTAGACGACATTTGGCATTAAAGAAATTTGTAGGACAGCAGTAAACTGGGATTGAAAAGAATCAAGTACTCACGTAAATTTGGTAACTTCACAATAGTAATCTGCATTCTCCAATCAGAATATTTCACTGTGTTCCAAAACTGACAGGATGTTCCTCTTTGATTTTTATACAATCGAAATATTTTCTTCAAAAATTTCCTCAATTAATTTGTCTTTATTCCAAAAAAATATTTCGAAATTTAGGAGTAACTTCTCAAAAATTTCCTCTTTTTCCTCCCGTTTTTCCTCCCAAAAAAAATTTCCTCCTAGGCTGCCTGGCAAGATGGCGTGTTTCTGGATGTGGGCCCTAGCCCCCGCCAATGGGGTCCGCCCCTTACCTGGACTCCGCTGGGGGCCGCGCCCCCAGACCCCTGCCACAGCTTGCAGCTTTGCTCGCCGACAGCCCCCCCCCCCCCCCCCCCATTCCCCCAAAGAAAAATCCTGGCTACGTGCCTGAGCAAAATATAGGTTTAGGGCTTTTCAGATGATTTGGCTCCTCAACAGATACCGACGTACATAACGGTCAATATGTAGTTTAGGTTTACCTGGCCCGTAGGTTACGAATGTGCCCGAGGAGGAAAAAAAAGCAAACTTAAGAAAATTTCTCGAGAACTTAAAAGTTCACCTCAAAACGAAATCTGCACCTATGCATGGCATCATGCACATTGCACATGATTAAAATCCAAATTGTTCAGATATCTTAGTTTTAGGCAAACTTGTCGTCTTGTTGGAACGGTCCACTACCCCAGACCTGCAACTCAAGAATACTGATATGTAGAGCCAGAGGGCAGAGGCTGGTGTAGAGTGATTCTTGAGGCGTAGGTTGGATCCTTATCAGACACCATAAAATCGTAGGTATTTAAAGCCTGGATGACCGCTCCAATCAACTCCTCATCAGCGTAGATGTGAGTTCCAACAATCTGCTCTTTACAACAGTTTCGGATATTTCAGATCTTGATCTTGTGAATTCTGAAGACACCACCTAATTCGATCCAAATCTTGTTATTATCTGCAGCACTTCGGGTATGACTGTATGTACAAATGCTACTGTCAACGTCTAGCTCAGATCAGAATCTCCATTGCTCTCTCCTTGATATCTTAAGCTTTATCTTTAAGCTCAAAAGCCTCATCCTTTACCCAATAAGCTTGCTCTCCGATAGCATCTGCTTTGTCTATAGCAGAGTATCCTTCTCGTCTTATTTCCTGAGCCTCTTCTTTAAGAGAATTGCAGATGTCCACCACACACTCTTCTCTGCTAGGTCGTCTCCCTTCGAGATCCGTATCTCCAAGTACCAGCTAGCTTGGTACATAAAACAAGCAAAAACAGGTCCTTAAGAAACATAGCAACCAACTCCTCTAACGTTCTAAAAATGTGCCCGAAATTGTGAAGTCAGATCAATCTAGCGATACGTGTCCTGCAATTAATGATAAGGTATTTATCAGGAATAGGATAATGAGATTTTACAGGAAGAATGCCAGCTGATTTTCTTATTTTTAATCATAGACGATACCTGTTGGTCGCTATCGGTTGTGAGAAGTGAGACAACGTATGCTACGCATGAGGCCCCAGGTCAAGATTTATGCGAGATTGCGAGCCAGACTCATCGCACAAAATTTGTAAATAAATGAGGAAACAGAAAAAGTTTAACTTAAAAGTTGAGGGAATTAGGAACTTAACATGTATTTTATACTCTTAAAGTTAACGTGTATTTTATCACTTGTTTATAGCGTGAAAACTTCGACGTAACGCGCGCGAGATTTTTGCCAGATTTTTGCGAGTTTCGTTTAAATCTCATAGCTAGGCTCACAATATCGTGAGATTCTCCGCGAGATTTCGGCATCCTCTTTCAGCACTACATATTCGGTCGCGCGCTTGCATTTTCATCGCTTTTCAGCGTGTTTATTCTTAGTTTATTTACCATGCAACGGTCCCATAATACTATTCCTCATATTGCTGGCCTTTTCGTCTTTATCATCAAGCCGACTTTTCATGGTCAATGAACTTTTGGTATTGATTGTTTTGAATTATTACTGGTTGTGACTTGTGTTACTCTGACGGCTTACTTTTCTGTACTGTCTAAGTCTTAAAGGATACTAGTTGTTGTCGATACTAATCGGTTTATAAGATCAAGATTCACAGTGGTTACTATAGTTACCATGGTTGCCATTAAAGGAGGTCCGGTAAAAGTTTGATAAAGGGTCTCTTCAACTGGAGAACTGACTTATTAATCCTAGCAGGTAATTAACTCTGGATCCTTACATTGATTCCATTCTAAAGTCTAGTATAGTACTACCTTAAGTTGCAGGAGCGCACGAATATCTATATGTAAATATTACAATGCATGTATGGAATCGTGGCCTAGTTGGTTAATCCGTCGGTTCCAGATTAGCAGATTGCGAGTTCGATACCCGGGACGGATAATTTTTTCCACTCTTTTGGCAATTATGAATAACTATACTAATGAACTAATAACTATACTAATGAATAACTAAACCTCTGTAATATAATTAGCATATAATTAGCAAAGTGAAATGAAATTGTTATCCGGCCGCGGAGCGGCCGAAAAATTTATGGTAGTCGTTTTAAAAATATATGGTAGCCGTTTTTTCTTTCCAGACTGGATTCCTAGTCCCTTTTTAAATTTATGTCACTGGGAACCATCGTGCTACGAGAGGCTTACCACGTTTACAATATGTAACATAATATAATTCATAAAAATACGCACGTAAATTTTTCGTTATTTATGGATCCAATAACAGCGACATACTTACAATTCTGAGAAATAAACATCGAGCGACATAAAGCAACTTACTTACAATTTCGCTTACAAAGGGACTCGCGAAATCTTTTTAAATAGAAAATAATTTGTGGGGCAAGAAATCTTGCAGGCTGGGGGGGGGGGGGGGGGGGGGGTTGGTGGGGAGTACATTTCGCCACTGCACGTGACACGTGAAAATCGCACTTTTAGTCTCAAAATCCAATCTCATCGCACTTTTTTTAGAATCTTGATAGGGGCATGAGGCTATTTTCGAACCAATAATTAGTGTTTTCAATATTCAAGTTTCGAGATCAAGATAAAATACAACTTGTGAAGAGTAATTTTAATTTTAAGACCCCAATAAAAATCCCTCCGGTTTCGGCCTTTTCAATCGAAAAGTAATTAGTTTTTTATCTACACTTATCCCGCATCTGACTTATACTCACCATGATGATAGGAGGGCATATTTCAATGCATGTTCCGTACCATCATCATTGATAATGTGGATAATGGTACGGGGCAGTCCCAGGTTTCTGCACACGGCTTTTGTTCACTAGCA